AAAGAACAAAAACGCATCATAAATTTATTATAATAGTCAATATGAATTATGTGCTATATTCCAAGTCTTCCGAAACCATAATTCGATTTTCATCCCTTCGGCCTCAGCTTTAAAATCCCATTTGCGGTCACATTTTAAAACATCCCATATGTTACTTGGTCACAAAACATGTCAAAGACGTCAATTCTGGTGCAAGGCATCAAAATTAGTCAACTCTGAAAAAGACGGTCTATTTTGTTGTGGAGACTAACATTATATAATAGAGAAAATATGTGACTGGAATGACATTCGGGTGAGTAAATCGTCAATACGATTGTTTCTGAGTGAATTACTCCTGTAAGGTACTGATTTTAAAGCAGTGGTGCCAGTGAACACTAACATTCCTGCTCATCCACACGGCCTAAAAATAGCGCTAGTCGATGCTAACTGAATCTGAAAAGCTTGAGGGAAGGGAGGTGCTGGTGTTTATTGGCAGGCCTTTACTCGTCCTGTGACCTGTGAGGCACCGGTGAAGTCAAGAAGAGTGTTGAGGTTTGTTCACCTGATATTTCCTCCGCTGAAGAGTATAAAGTGCTGCTAATGGAATTCCTGCAAGAAATACAGCACAGACTGTGCTGAAACAACACCTCCACACTGATCATTCACAGCACTGTTTGAGTCCCGATGCTGCATTGTGGCACACCGTGCGGTTTGAGGCCCATCGGGCCGACAGCTGATGGAGCGAATGACTGTCATGCCAGAGAGGATTCGTCTACCGCACGCCACGCACACATGCAATGAGCTAACAGCACTGCGGAGGCCGCATACTGAGCTTTCCCTCTGCCTAAACTAGGTTCAGATGGGATATTCATTCATAATCAAAACCATCGATCAGGAAGGGGTTGCTCAGACTGAAGCCTCCGCCATCGGCAGTCTGAAAGGCAACTGTATATGAAATTCCCATAAAACCAGTCAGATCATATTTCTGTGGTGCCCCGCACATGATATGTGGACAAAATCATGAAGAACAAGGTAGCAAGGTAACAACAAGGTAACAAATTAGTACGATGTGGCAACAATTTACTCAAACGAGGAAACAAATTAGTATGACGCAGCCACAATTTACGAAAACAAGGGAACGAATTAGTACAACATGGCCACAAACTACTAAAACGCAACGAATTAGTACGACGTAGCCACAATTTACAAAAACAAGGGAACAAATTAGTACAACATGGCCACAAATTACTAAAACGAGGCAACAAATCAGTACGACATAACCACAATTTACGAACACGAGGGAATAAATTAGTACAACATGGCCACAAACTACTAAAACGAGGCAACAAATCAGTACGACGTAGCCACAATTTATGAAAATGAGGGAACGAATTGGTACAACATGGCCACAAACTACTAAAACGAGGCAACAAATCAGTACGACGTAGCCACAATTTATGAAAATGAGGGAACGAATTGGTACAACATGGCCACAAACTACTAAAACGAGGCAACAAATCAGTACGACGTAGCCACAATTTATGAAAATGAGGGAACGAATTGGTACAACATGGCCACAAACTACTAAAACGAGGCAACAAATTAGTATGACATGACCACAATTTATGAACACGAGGGAATACATTAGTATGACGTGGCCACGATTTACTAAAAAGAGGCAACAAATTAGTATGACGTGGACTACAATTCACTAAAACAAGGGAACTAACAGTACTAAAATTTACTAAACGAAGGGAATTAATTAGTACAACGTGGCCACAATTTACTAAAAAGAGGGAACAAATTAGTATGACGTAGCCACAAAAGACTCGAACAAAGGAACAAATTACTACAATATGACTATTATTTACTAAAAAGAGGGAACAAATTAGTACAAGGTGGTTGCAATTTACTAAAAAGTGGTACAATGTCACTACAATTTACTAAAACGAGGGAACTAATAGTACTAAAATTTACTAAAACAGTGGACCGAATTATTACAACGTGGCCACAAAATACTCAAACAAGGGAACAAATTACTACAACATGACCACAATTTACTAAGAAGAGGGATTGATTTAGTACAACATGGCCAAAACAAGGTAATGAATTTGTATGTGGCCACAATTTACTGAAATGTGGGAACAAATTAGTACAACGTAAATACAATATTTTTTCCCCTTGCATATCATGTGTGGGGCAACGTATATTTCACACCGAAAATTTAAAAAATTTTGGATAAAGAAACTGAAGTTCATTTGTTGGATCATTCAGGTTTTTCTGCATTAAAACATTTTCTTGACCGTCGTTTTCCTCACGATTTTGATTGGGACAGGTTTCGTGAGATTGTTGTGGGATTTTGTGAGAAGTTGGACAAGGCTGTAATGAGGATCAGTTTGATCCAACGTGACTCTTTTCCACACATTTGTCCGTCTCACACATAAACGTCAGCAATTTAGACTATTTGCATTCGCTCATGTGAGATGAATCAACAGACTTAAGATCTGACAAGACTTGTGTGACAAGTCTCATTCCTGTTTATTCCTGTACATTTCACAGTGTCAGTCTGGATGGTGGTGGTAGATTAAACCCGAGTTCCAGTATTTGGGGTTTAAAAAGAAAGGATTATAAAAAAATTGTTTTTAAACCGGGTGTGTGAGAAGCCCCAAGGCAGTGCATTGCGAGGCACTTACATGCTTTCAGAAGATGCTGTCTGTGTGCGATCACACGATCCTTTCATTGTTTACTAATGTGGGAAATGGCAGAAACAGGCATTTATGTTGCATTGATTTGTGTCAACTAACACTTGACATAATCCCATGATCAAAAATAAAGCTTCCTCTTTAAAACATCCAGAAGGCACACTTTGAAGTTACTTGAAGAATGAAATCAGTTATTGCTCGGAGATCTGCACATTCGTTTAAAGTGCCGCAAGATAATTGTGCGAGAATTAAAGGCCACCTGACAGTTTTCTATAGTATCCGTTGCTGGAGGGAAGGACTGTGAGATAGCGGTGAGTTGTGAATGGAAAATGGATCCAGTTGTTCAGGATCTGAACACGTGCACTGCCCGCACCACGTACTGCCGGCAGATCGGACATTCATTCATGCGCTTGCCGCACTTTGTGCATGTGACCATGTGTCCGCACTCCAAAAAAACACAGTCAATGGGTGAGTCCATACAGATCTTACACAGGTTCTCCTCCACGGCCGTCCCAGGTCCGGCGTCTATAAAGAAAACAAACTTAGAAGAATAACAATCAGTATGAAAAGAAACTGAAGAGTGCATGTGTGTGAATATCGTGACATTTTGGTCAGGAAATCAAAAATGCAATTTATAACATTCACTTAAAAGCATCTTAATTTTTTTTAATGAGTTTTGATATTTTTTGGATGGGTTAAGTAAAAATGTTAATGTGGTACAACTGTCCTCTTCTCATAATGAAGAAAAAAAAACATAGCTAGGCATAATTTATTATTATTACTACTTTAAAACAAAAATCGGTTAGGGTTAGTTTTTAAAGTCATGTGGTGCAACCAACTTGCAAAAAAGAAAGAAAGACACATTTATTGACCTTGACACATAGTGTCAGATAATTTAACCTGATAGAGCAAGTTGTAAAATGTCACATGGTTAAACTCCCAAAATATTATTTGGGGACAAAATATAAAACGTATAAACCTTTTGAAAATGATTGAGATTGTATTTAAGGTGTAGAATGTTTTTTATGGTCACACCATATAAACATTTTAGGTCAAAAGTGATTGAGATTGTATTTAAGGTGTAGAATGTTTTTTATGGTCACACCATATAAACATTTTAGGTCAAAAGTGATTGAGATTGTATTTAAGGTGTAGAATGTTTTTTATGGTCACACCATATAAACATTTTAGGTCAAAAGTGATTGAGATTGTATTTAAGGTGTAGAATGTTTTTTATGGTCACACCATATGAACATTTTCAACA